TACGTTTTTTATCTTATAATGCAAGATTAACTACTTTTAACTTTCTGACAAAATGAAAAAATAATACACTTACATCTTTTTAAATATGTATTTCTTTCCTCAAAGCATATTTACATATAACAAACATACTATAAAACTATAAAAAATGTCATTTGATATATATCATATAGGGGTGGTCGCTATACGTTTCCGTAATGGCCAGTCCACGGTATCTCTATGAATACACAGAATGGGGCCTGATAATGAAAAAAGTTGTCCGAAGGTTATGGAATAAAAATGTCAACCCTATTAATTTCAATGGGTAATTGGCATGTTGTCATGGTGTGGGCAAACAAGGGTAACATGTTGTTTAAAGACCGAATATGAGCCATCGGTTCGTAATTAAAATCATTGTTCATATTCTTTAGAACAACGAAAATTAGTGTCCCACGAATAATAATGATTTTGCAGTGAAAAGAATGAACAAATATATTTGCAAGATGAATAGGTGTGCTGAAGGGAATTGTTAGGAAAACATCTGCTTATAATTATGAATTCAATGGTGCTTTGTTGAAATAAGGTTAAGCCAATACGGATGCGGAAGGTAAAATTTATAATAAAAATATCGATATACGAGGAAACATATAAATCTTGAAATATATTGAGAACATAGCTATTTTTTATTTTAGCACACTATAGAACGCTATTAAAATATTTACGTTTTCAACTACTCGATATCGAGTCGTTAAAGAAACAAAACCATTTTCGTCGAATAAGCATGTAAAAAAAAACCGACTTCAAAACAGCCATTCTTGTTAAGTGTTAATTAACAGAATGATAGGTGGCATAAGGTGCATTTCTTTGATTGTTTGATGCCTATTTTTGACCCAGAAATTCCCTTATTTTAATTTCTCAAAAGCTGTTTGGTTTCTGTTCCAGTTTTCAAAAACAAAAGTTACTCATTGGTCAAATTCCCGTACCATATTTCACTTTTGTTGCCTTTTAGCAATTAGTACGAGTACAATGATTTATTATTTTGTATGTAAGTCAAAATGATATTTTGATTGATACTTTTATGACAAATAATTTCACATTCAGTGCTACTTTTCTAATGTGATTAACACGTAACATGCTCTAAAACATATCTAAATGTTATTAAAAGCATATTTGCCCTTTCTAAAGAAGGATTTTTTAGATCCTGAAGCATAATGTGCCTTAAATTCTAAAATAGTATTCATATCGGCAAGAAAATGCCAATCTGCAAAAGAATTTTTAATCATACAAAATGACATATTCAGTCTGATTTGAAACCTTCTGAATAATCTATTTTGTAAAAACTTTGTTTATAAGAAATCTAAGTTGGAATAATTACTATGCTTATAGTTTAATGTTAAATAAACAGTTTAATTGTCAAAGTGATACATTTTGTTTTATTAAAATCGTTTTCAAGATGACTAAAAGCTACATCACGTATTTGTTAACATTCTTTATGCTCTAATTTCCGTATTGTTCGACATTTTAGATAAGGACCAGGACAATTTGAATTCAATACAGGTCATTGCCCCATTTTTTGTATATTATCTGACCTTTAAATGATTGACGGCATTAATTAACATGATAGTCTGCAACTTCTGGCGACTGACTTTAACCAAAAGAAACTTGCCCAGTAATTACAGACTACCAGATACATGTACACTTATATTTCAAACTTTCCCCCTGAGATTGTTTCTGGAGTTATATCCTGTAAAAGTATTCAATGAGGCTTTCTCCTCAGAACTATAAATTTTGTGGCTACAGTTTAAAGTGAAACGAAATATGGCATGATTATTCAACATTTTCTTGTGCTCAATAAAGCATTAATTTTGGTCAATATTGTTTGTATTTTACATTTGTATAATGAGTTCAAACACAAAATATGTAAGCAATAAGATCTAACATTTACCAGCTGAGCCGACTATTAGTTGTTACCTCCTGTATTATGGTTCCCAACGTTATAGGTGTGTATATAAAAATGACATAATTATATATTTCATATGATTTGTTCAAACTATTTAGTAAGTACTTGTTACAACTGTTATAACTGTCACAAAGCATTGTATGTTAGCTCTGAATACAATTCGCACATACATCACAATTTGGAAGTTAAACTTAGGGAAGTTAAACGGAACTTTAGAAAAGCATGTTTTTACTTTTAATCCAAATTTATGACGACGGTATATTAAAAGTTAATGGTCATTAAACACAAGTAGAATAAATACAACAATTTAGTATCTACTCATACGTCTATTCATTCGAAATTATATGATATTAATTAAGTATGATAATGTATAATTTATTACATCTATGAACAAACAAAGACGTATAATTATAATGCTTACTAAAATGGTAAAATAGATCTATGGACAAATTAAGACACTTATTTTGCAGAATTGTACTTTTTGTGGCAACAGTTTACAAAAATCCATAATATGGAATTCAGATTATTGAGCATTCTCATACGCTCAAACAATAGTATGTTCTTCTCAATAATGTCGATATTATATCAAGAGTTCAAATACATAATCAACATTTAACGTTTAAATTTAGATTACAGCTGAGCCAACTATTAGCAGTAACAAGATTCATTATGTTTCTTAATTGTACAAGTATGTACAAAACGACACTGTTGAAACAATTCAGCCAGTACTTATAGATTTGTTAGTTAAATCTTAGAGGCCCATTATACCCCAACAATGCTTTTATTATTATTTTTTAAAAGCTTTGTATTTTTGGTATTTTGTTAAGGTTTCCAAAAAGATTCTAATTAGACAAAGACCCTGTTTGTTTCTATTGCATCTTGTCAATAAGTGTATTTATAGTGATTTAGTATTTTGTATGAGTGTCAAAATACTACTTTGTATTTTTGCTACTTCTTAGACAAATGATGCCATAATCAGCACTTCTTCAAGTTATAAGCATAAAAACATAACCTAAAACTATTTTTTAAATATCAGAAAACTCAATTTTGCATTTCTTAAAGTGAAAAAATAATTTTTTTCTGAGGTATAAAGTGTTTTTTTTTTACTTTAAAGCAAAATTGGGTCATGCTATATTGAAAGTCATTAGCAATAAGGTCATTTAAAATATATGGGTTAAAGTTTAAATCGAGTATAAAAATAATTTGATAGAAAAATATTGGCATCCCTATTTGTATACGTAATTTAGAACGTTCATGATTTTTCAGGAAAAGCTGAAAATTTATAATTAAAATTGTTAACACAATAAATACTTTGAGCAAAATATCAATCTTATTTTATTTCCATAACTTGTATTTTACTTCATAAATAAGAATTTTCGATACCCCTATATGTCAATATGGATGAAAGTAGATAATGAAATGAATAATGAATTCCACATATACCCCCGCTTTCCATTTTATTGCGACAAATTACGGCGAATATCAAAAACAAAACAGATTATTAGTTTTCCTTAAGTTTGGCATTTTCCCGAAACCGTGCGTCCCGGATCACGAATACCGATGGCAGAAAAGAAGAGAAAAAATGATAAACTATAAACATTTGAAATATATATTGTGAATAATAGACAAGCGTAAATAGAATTCTATTTCGAACCATATACTCTTCTTCAGTAACATACCATTTTAAAGCTATTTCTGAGAATAGCATTCATGATTAACAAAAACAATAAGAACGAGTATCTAATTTCCATACATATGCATTCGTTCTTTATAAAGTTAATAAACGATATACAATGTACAAACACGCCTACTACATTTACGTTTCACTATACCTTATAATGCTTTAAGGGTATAATATCTAAACTAATACAAAGTTGTTTTTATAATATTCCAAATTGATTAAGTTCCAAACATAAATTCAAAAATCTGGAAACAAAGTGATCCTTCGGAAGCATTTATCACAACAAAATTACAAAAGAATTGCAGACTCGGTTTGATTGAGTCTGTACATGAGGGATAATGAATACGTGCAACATCCCTCACGCCCCCTAGCACCGGCTTGAGTGGTACTCAATTCTCAACACTTAATAGTGCTGGCATCAATGATCCCAAAGGACCAGAAAAATATAACAACACTGAAGTGAAGTACGGGGCAACTTTTTACAGCTGCCACACAGCACTTGACACCTGCTGTTGTGAAGTATAAAAATCTGGAAACAAAGTGATCCTTCGGAAGCATTAATCACAACAAAATTACATAAGAATTGCAGACTCGGTTTGATTGAGTCTGTACATGAGGGATAATGAATACGTGCAACATCCCTCACGCCCCCTAGCACCGGCTTGAGCGGTACTCAATTCTCAACACTTAATAGTGCTGGCATCAATGATCCCGAAGGACCAGAAAAATATAACAACACTGAAGTGAAGTACGGGGCAACTTTTACAGCTGCCACACAGCACTTGACACCTGCTGTTGTGAAGTATAAAAATCTGGAAACAAAGTGATCCTTCGGAAGCATTAATCACAACAAAATTACATAAGAATTGCAGACTCAGTTTGATTGAGTCTGTAAATGAGGGAAAATAAATTCGTGCAACATCCCTCACGCCCCCTAGCATCGAAGTGAAGTCCGGGGCAACTTTTTACAGCTGCCACACAGCAAAACGGCAAAACAATCTATGAGAAAATATAAATCACATTTTACATGTTTTCTGCAAGTCTTTCCATAGACTCGATCTGCTTCTTGTGTACTAATTCACCCCCCTTTTTATTATAGCCATGTGTTAAAAAACTATAAGCAAAAACCACAATACTCGTATTTCAGAGGATTTAGAGCTATCTCTTATTATGTGAAATATCAGTTTCGCCAGGTTTTACAGTTGTTTTTGTCTAACTACATTCTGTGATTGGCAATTAAGGTGATAGTATTGTATTTTTATGAGTTATATCATCGGTAAAAGCATGAAATATAACGTGGAAAACTTCTGTTGAAATCGAGCCAGCGGTGTAGAAGACGCTTTATTCTTGTATGATTTTTAACAAGTATGAGAAAGATTGGAAAAGAAAGGACATTAATACACAGGTAAATAATATTTTGAAAATTTGCTAAGTTTTTTTTGTCATATTACAAATTTAACTTTGAGTACAGATACCTTAAAATAATGTTTTATTCAAAAATATTTTTTCATATAGATTTACTTTAATATAGATAAATACAGAATCCCTAAAGAAAGCCCAACACGGCAAAATTGAAAATGTTGCAGGCTCGGTTTGATTGAGCCTGTTCATGGACGGTACTGGAAAGTGCAAGTTACCGTCAACGCCCCCTAGCACCGGCTTAAGCAGAATTCAACATTTAAACATGAAATGGTAAAATTTTGAATTTAGAAACATCCGCAGATGTGTTCATACGGCGGTTATCATGGAACCTTCAATGTGACATTTCCGTGCCATTCCATGAAAAGCGGCGTATGGTCCCCAAGTAATAAAAAGCGTGTGCCCTAAACGAGAAAACAATGGGCAGAACTAAATAAAATAGAATTTTGAAAGGGGATCAGAGAATATGAAGCCTGCGTATCACAGATAAGACGTCAAAAGACAAATTTAAAAAGCAGGCAACATATCCTAAGGGTGATTCAACATTATTCAAGTAGGAATATTGGAACCACCCAACTAGAAAATGCCGAAAAGTTGAAACTAAAAATACCACAAATACAACAATAATGTCGTGCTGAAAATAACACGGATGTGATCATAATATAGATAAATACAGAATCCCTAAAGAAAGCCCAATCCCTTAAGTCAACCACAAACGATTGAATTCATCGATAAAAATGTTAGGTCTAGAACTGTTTATACAAATCAGTGGAGAAGATGTGGAATATAAGCGCGGACGGTTAATGTCGAGAATATCGAACCAGACTACCCTCATTTCAATATAATCGAATGTTCAGCTGAAAAAGGGTCTAGGCCGTCGTTCAATACAAACGAAATGTTGAGCTGAATGTCGAGCCAACTTCACATCTTAGCTTATCATTCAATACAGATCGAATGTCGAGCTGAATGTTGGGGAAACGTCACATATAAGCTCGTCATTTACTTTATAACTAATGTCATGCTGAGTGTCAAGCAAACCAAATTCATCACCTAATTTCCCCATTCAATGAAGATAGAATAGAATGTTCAGTTACATATTTGGTAACATTCATTTATTCAATATCGCGCTCAATACAATACAGGCCGACATTAAAAAATCGAATGTTGTGTTGAGTGTGCAATTTCAACATCCTTGCCAAATTTACGATCTTTAATTAACAACAACATTAATAAATAAATTTAAAAAAAAACATCCCCATAAAAAAACCAACAAAAAAAACAAATAACAAAAACAAACAAAACCCAACAAAACAAAACAACATCGAACGTTCACAAAGAGTATATGTTATTATATAAAAAATATCATATTCTTCGGCCCGTTTTCAAATTTATAAATTTTAGCATGTTGTGAAAAGAAAATCAGCTGTAAGTGACTAATGAACACTCCTCCTTACTTATTTAAACATTTCCGATTTCTTCTCTTCTAAAATGGAACATAGATTACAAAATGATCAATTTTCCTAAATAATAACGCACGATTTGGCAATACAAAAAATAATAATGGCAATTTTGTGTACCTATTGACTTCTTATATTGTTTTTAAGTGCAGGTTTCAGGTTTCCTAAAAATACACATACTTAGAAAATCAAAATCTTTATAAAGGAAATTTTGGGTTTTAAGTTGATGATTACATGGCAAATCACGTTCGTTTATTTTAAGAACTCGAACCAAAAAAAAAAACAACCCCCCCCCCCCCCCCAAAAAAAACCCCCAGAAAACAACAAAAAAACATGACATGTTATGGGAAAAAATGTCAACGAAATCTGATTGCAAAGTAGTTTTCACTATAAGAAATTGGTATTTCGTAAGATGGGGCAATCCACGAACACGCAATGTCTGGCTTTTGTCTGTTGTTCCAAATATAAAAAAGTGACGTCATTGCAGGAGATTTCTTAACATGATTGAAATTATGACAAATTACTATTAGCAATAAAAACGGAACCAAAATAATTGGTCTTAATGCTGTTATTAACGTAAAATGATTGAGTGATTTATAGTAAAATTATTGACTTTTCCTGCTGTTCAATTATTCCATTTATTTTGTTAAAAAAATGTTTGCTCACGTTGTTCAATAATGAACATTAAATCTTATCAGCTTTTAAGCATCTGTAAGGCTTTTGATAGTATTTAAAGCTGCATGCTTCCATATGAGTCAAAATATTACAATAAAATAGTTAAACTTGAGAAAAATGTACTAAGATTTCAAGAAAAGTAAAAAAATTTATGTTTCAAGTAAGATTTACATGTTATGTGCGATAAAGGACTGATTTTTTTGTATGTATCATCATATATCTACTGCGTTACTAACGCATTTAAGGTTATTTTTGCTTATTTTGACCTGTGTTTGGTTAATTACATGTGTAAGTTATTTTCTTTGTACATTTCACAATACTTTTAAATATATTTTTAAAATTTTAATGAAAATTAGCTTGACTCTGGAGGCATGCTGCTTAAATTGCATTTACCATTATTTTGTTCTTTGCATGAAAATATTTTTACTTTTTTTGGTAATTTAAAAGGGTTCGTATTTTTATAAAAAACAATACGATATAATTTCGTTTATGTACAGGCATATATTTTACGATTGAATAAAACAAGTGGCGATGAATGTCTTTCATAAAGTACGTAATAACATCAAATAGAATACACAAGAGGTTCATTTACTAAACGGTTTGGTATAAGTAAGTACGGTATTGGAATCTTAGATTATAAGAAACAAGACACGTACTAAAAATAAGCTCATTTAAGATATGCAGGAAACTGAACAAGTAGATTTATTCGATGACCGAAATTTATGTTAGAGTGAACAGTATTGCAATAAAAGCATTGATTTCCACCTGAAGAACATATCCAATATCTGTGTAAAAGGTCAGGTTGTCCTATCAATTTTCACATATTCTTGCATCATGAGAAATGGCCCCGAACATACCTTAAAAATTTGGTATTCATCATAAAATGTAATTTTGCTATAGAAACGATCTGAAGTAATCCCGTAATATAGCCGTGACCAACCTTATTTCTTCTAATAATAATTTTATACGTACTTCATAAATTTATTTTCTCGCACAATCAAAATATGTCCCATTGACGCTTGCGGTTCTCTTTTTACTTTTATAAACCAATGGCTAGTCGCATTACAATACAACTCTGACCTATAATTTGGAAACCGCACTGAAATAGCAGCAAAGAAAAGCAGGTCAAATCAAATTTCGCTGTCTGAGGCATGCAAGACACTTTCTGTCATCACTTTGTACTGATTTGGTTACAGGAACTGATTTGAGAGTATATCTATATGACTTCCTACACAACTTAACTTAAATGAATTTTATATAAACTAAAAGCATATCAACATTTACATTTTGAGTGAGAAATATAATGAATACTACTGGTTATTACTAATTCTATTACAATGAATCTTTTCATATAATGCATACATATTTTTATTCAATTAAAATTCAAAACTAAATTCATTTTTAATCTGTCAAAAGAAGAACCTTTATCAAGTTACTAACTGTTAACATCTTTTCATAGACCCCCCCCCTTTCAAAAGAAAAAAAAAGAAAAAAAAAGGAAAAACTTCAACAACAAACAAACAAAACAACAACAAACAAAAACCACCACCACCACCCAACCACCATAACAACAACAACATTGCTTGAGATCAATATTACAAACAAGACTTAAAACTTAAGGAATATGACACACTGTGTGATTTGCGTAAACTGTTATAATAAAAACATTTGAAGAGCTTTTATTTAACTTAATATGTAATTATAAATTTTAGCTCTTCTATGGTTATTTTATGACGGATGCAACCTTTAATTGAAACTTCTAAACGGCATCAAATATTTCCGGATATCATATTATTTAATGAAATTGCTTTACGAATTTGAGTATTTCATTAAATGGCAACAACCAAATGTTAATTTAAGAGATCTCCAAGATTAACCGATATTACATTGATATACTAAAAGAAAATATAGTTCTAGAACTAGACAAACAAGACGAATTGGTTCTAAAAGTCATTGTTTTTTCTCCAGTAAAGATACAGTATGAATGTGTCAATAATATTAATTTATCAAATTATAGCTAATAGCAAAACGCCTTCTGAAACTGTCCTTGAAGGATTGTAATTTATTAAATGAATCATTTAGATAATCGTTTGACAAAGTTCAAAGGACATATGTTTAAATGATGTAAGTTGACCCCAAAATTTTAGCTTTTATTTTTAACCAATAAACAGAAGACCAAGAATTAACAATAATATATTTAATGAAAAAAATGTTGATATTATACCTAAAAATGATATTATATATTAGAAAAACAGTTTTGTCTATCAATGGCCTATAATATAGGTATTAAGTTATAAAGAGAAATTCACACGGACACTCGCACACCGTTGTTTTTATTCATCTTTTATGTCTCAACTTTAATAGTTTTGACTTCATTAGATTATAAAAGGCTATGTCGAATATATTTTGCCCAGATAAAAGCTTTAGTTCTAAGACATCTAAAATGATGAATTATTGCGGACGAATAAAAGAATATATATAATTGCCTATCCAAAAAAATATGTGAAAATTATTTGGAATAATAGCTTGCTTTTTATTGTCATTTCAAGTGATTGATACCGTACTCCGCATCATACATGACATTTTTAAGCCGTCAGGTTAGCTCAACAGATAAAGCATTTGGCTGTGAATCTGGCGACCCGGTTGATTCCCGGACGGTGCTGATCTCTTTGATTGTGATTGATCATGAAATCCTTTCTACAGTCATACAGTTCATTGGGAAAAGGAAGGCAACTAGTACTGGTAAACTGCTTGACAGCCTGTCCAGGAAAGAAGTGGTGGCTGAATGTGCTCTGGTAAATTTAATGTGACTTACTGCCGTGATACGGAGTGAAAACTACCAATGCAACCACCACCACTACATGTAATTGTTTATATCGGAGCATCACAATATAGTCAGCGCATCCTGTATTATATGAGGAATAATTTGAATTGCAAATGTCATCATTTTACAGAAGTCACATATGAAACTCATCAACAGTGTTAGCCTTTAAGCCTAGGGAACGATTTTATTTGACATTTAAAATAAACTGTCCACATTAAGAAACAAAACAGGTGTGTTTGTCTATGAAATGAACATGAAGTAAAACACTACATGAGTTTATCTTAGCAGTACCGCAAGGAATTGATATTTCAAATGACGCGTCAATCCACAAACATGCAACACCGCGCTTTGTTTAATGTCAGACATTTAAAGAGGTGCTTTATAATGTGTTTTCTCAACATGAAACAAATTGAGATGAGATGAAACGAAAATTATGTCTTGATAAAAACCAACAAACAAATTGATATGACGTGTCTTTGTTGCTATAGTTTCAAAACAGGCATTGACTTGAAGTAAAAATGATAGATTTTGTATATACATGTATATCAAATGCAGTTTTAAAATCGTTTAATAAATTATTTAGCGATCTTAAAGTTATTTATGAAGAAACAAATAATAACCATGTAGAATTTGAAAAACTAAAAGTTATTTTTGAAGAATCAAATGATATAGAAATTGAAAATCTAAGTTATTTTTGAAAAAAGAAAGTAATAATTTATTTGTTAACGTTAATGAAAGCATTGTCATGTCTGAAAACATCAGGAAAAATACAACAAAATACACGCAGCTTATATTGTGTCAGTTTATAATGTAGGAAATTCAAAATGATGCATTCATCTTCGTAAATTGATAACCAACTATCGCAGACCCACATGTTTAGGTTACTACAAATAAATAAATAAATAAATAAATAAATAAATAAATAAATAAATAAATAAATAAATAAATAAATAAAAAAAAAATAAATAAATAAAACGCTCATTTGTTTATCTGCAGTTAAACTATTCATGCATTTTAATAACTGCACCATGTCAACGGCATCTCCAACGTATCGTGTTACTCCAGTTCTGACGTGATTAACGTCAATGACAAAACCATATGCTCTGCAGCAGTCAATTAACAAGTATTCATAGTACTGACCGCATATTTAATACAACTGTTATAGCGATGAATCAATTCGTATCGTCACAATCATTTTTAAAAGAGAAGTCTACAGTAGATAATGTTTAAGAAATAATATATCCCAACCAGTGATTTTATCGCTCAATAACCTCACTGTTTGGAGTTCGGATGCGACGAAATATATCGAGATATAATGATACGCATCCGAACGACAAACAGTGATGTTATCAAGTGATAAAATCACCGATTTGGATATATTATTTCGATTCTAACACGACATCAAAAAATAATTGTTGCCGTACCGGATATTAAGCAAAATTGCGCCTGATTTGTTTTCGTACTTATTTTAAGCGCGTCGGATTCTTATGGATTTTGCTTAATACAGGATTGGCGTAGTACCTCTAGACGCTTGCAGAAATCATGATCACATAATAGACAAATATCTTTTTTTTCGCCAATTTTTACATTTTTCATTCATTATCATAATTACATAAATCGATGTGAAAAGATGAATTAGACCCATAGGAACTCTGGAACAGGACTGCATATGGCGGCGCATAAATCCGAATCCGTACCGGCTTTACATATTGTTTGTCCGACCTTTGAATATCTTTTCATATTATGCGAGCGGGTGGTCTTTAATTATCTAATCTTAATTTAATATAATCTGCTAATTTAAAAATCAGTCAAATTTACGGTATATTAAAAAAAAGAAAAGGAGTGACATCCGCCATTTGCCGCAACGTTCGGCGTAAGTTATCCCCTTGATATGCTTGATTTTTGTTTTAATTGTTTTAGTAATGAATACCAGATGAGTGCCTAAAATATTTATCTATAGATCATGTTTTAATATTCCCTTTTTCAGTTAGGCAAAATCAGTTGGACCATATTACTAAAGTGTCTGTTTTCTCCAAGTTAACAAATCAAACACGAATACGCCCGTTATAATGCCGCCTATACATGTCAACACGTGTAAACAATTAACCGTTAACGTTATATCCGGACGATACCTGATAGTTGACAAAAATAACGGGAACAAAATTCTGAAAAAATAGTAATCAATTTTTCCAAAGGGGATAAACTCATGCCGAAAACGTTGCGGCAAATGGCGGATGTCACTCCTTGTCTTTTTTATAATACCGTAAAATTTGACCAGTTTTAAAAGAGACAGATTGGGTTCAATTGATAATATATTTTTTTGAATCCATACACTCGGATTATAGAAAAGATATTTAGATGTAGCAGAAACGTTTTTAAAAACCGTTACACGATCGAAAATATGCGCCGCAATCTGCGGTCCCGTTCTCGAATTCCTATAAAAGTTCATTCCGTTGGGTTAAAAGGCAAGATTTTAGCATTTTATGATTCAAGCGCCTTGCCCGGTATATACCGGAATACGGTATTTAGTGTGGTGCCCAAATCCTTTTTTTAGTCTCACTCTATTCTTTTAGTGGCTACGTCAAATGTGTAATGATTACGTCACATATCTAAATATAGAACGTCAACTGTGACTCTATTGCATAATAACACACAACACACTTTCGGTTCTTCTATATTCAATAGTGAAAAATGCTGGTCGAATTAGAATAATAGATTGATTATCAACAATTGAGCATTATTGTGATTTTCGGAATGACTAATAGTTTAATCTGATATTTTAAAAATTTGCTCAGATATGTCTATTTTGTGTAATTAAAAATGTATGTTCAAATGAAATATAAAAATACAAATCCTATATTCGGACCGTGTGTATTTATAAATACCCCTTTAAACTCAACACAACCGACTTTACTTCAGCCTTTATTGGATATTTGATTAAAACAGTATTTACAGTACAATTTATAGTTCCAATACTCAGTTGTTAATAAAAACGAAATTTTCAAACAGTGCGAATATTTTGTAGAGGAAAAGAATTGAAGTGAAAATCTGTGAACACGTCTAATTAAGTGCAATATTGTATTCATCTGGAGATATCGGTTTTTAGCCGAGCGATGTAGAACGATTTAAGATAAAGTTGACACTATCTTAATGCAAAACAGTTATATCACCAATGAACGTATGAAACACCTTCGTAAAAGGGAAATACTGAACGCTACAACAGGACCGCTGTTTCATTGTTTATAAATGGAAACCGTAAGAAAATATTAAATTCTTATTAAGAATGGAATGAAAACTTTAAAGCACAGGTATATATATACTCCTTTTACCGTAAAAAGTTATTTAAATTATCATACCTATAGACAACGATCTTTTTTTCTTAAAATATACATTTAGAGATTTATAGCTTTCAAAAGCAGGGTTTTGTTATCAAAATATAATACATGTTAATAGATTTAAATGCTAATTTACATTTTGAAATTTTAAAACTAAAACATAATATACATAAAAGATTTTACTGTTACTAAATGTATGAGTGAATACAGAAATATGAAATTCCTTTATATTTTTGTATTTTTTGAGTAAAATACTATTCTTGAAAACCATTTGAATAATTATGATTTCTTATATTTATTTGTGAATTATTAGAATGAATATTTTTATTGTGTGGGTAAGATCTAACGCCTTCTGTTGAGAGCAATTTCAGTAATTAGTTAATTAAGATAAATAAATGAAATAATATACTTAATTTAAACACCGAACTTCTTAGTTTTAAACTTTTGTTACTTAAGATTCCTCAATTCAATCTCACACTTTGGATTTCTTCTAACATTTAGAGCTAAAGCTGGGATCTAATGCTTATCAATAATTACGTCTTCTTGAGTTAAAATATTTTAAATTGATAGCACTTAATATTTTATATAAATGCATTGCTAAAATTGAAATATTTGATAGTAGGTAAACAATTTACTTCAACATACACACTAAAACTCAATCATAATTCTTAAATTACGCAAACTCAATCATTATACTTAAATTACAGCGACAGTTTCTGTTTGACAATTAACTAACAGTTAACACTACTGTTACTAACAATAGTAAAGCAAAGGTAATATAGGATTGTTGCATTTTGTCTAAGTCAAAAATCGTCTGTCGGCTATTGTCTCTTAACTTACTTGAAACATTTTATTTTACGCAGACTTATTTTTCATTAAACCGAGTACTGTTCTTATAACATTTGCTATTTTTCATTGAACCGAGTACTGTTCTTATAAAATTTGCTATCTTAAATAAGTTAAATGTAATATCTAACCGGATCGCGGACTTACTAAATGTACACAATCATGACATTGTATAAGATTCTCACTTATGTAGTCTAATGTGCACTTGGTATATAAACATTTAATGATAAAGTTATATCGCAAACCTACATGAAAAAGTTATACATTGTCAACAGAGATAATGGAGTTGTACTAAACTACAACATCTAGGTAAAGGAATGCACGTTTAGCAATTTTTGAGACATAATATAATGTAAACATTGAAATCTATTTTCAGGTGTACAACTTTAATTTGTATTAGTCATCAATAATGAAAAACACGGTTGTTATTAAGAGAAATAGCGGAAGAGGATATAGTCTTATTTAGGTATGTCATTTCTTTCTTTTCCTTATTTCAGTTTCAATACTTTAAATTGTCAGCGCGATGTCTAGACAGTCATAGTATATGTAAGAAGTATTGCTTTTTTGTAATCTGTAAATAAGACCGTTCGAGTGTTAACAAAGCAATACCTTTCTTTATATCAGGAGATAATATAAATCCTGTATTTTATAACGACACAATATTTTTCCTTCCCTTTCTATCAATGTTACAGTATATGTTTCCTTTTCAATCTTTCAATGTTTTAATGGAACATTTTGTAGTATTTTTAAAACTGTTTCATATAATGTTGAAGTAAGTCGCGTGTTTGCTCAAGTACCCTGTCTCGATATATCTGCCACATTCACATCAACAAATGGCTTTGTAGGAGGCAAATCAAGAAAATCACTCCGTTTCGTCGCCTTTGTTCTGTTTGATATTAATCCTGTTGAAATATGACAATAAAAAAACAGCTGGTCAAACATTGTGCATTAAAGTTATGCACGAAATGCATGTTAATGAATAATATATTTTAGCCTCTTATGTTCATAATAACTTCTGCAAGTTAGCATGATACATCTGTTGTCCTTTTGACAAACTCTTACTTTTTGTCGAAAATCTGATGGCATAGTTTTTAATTTTCAAATTCTGTGATTATGTATGGCTCTTTAAAAGAGATATTCTAGTATTGTTACAATCTATCTTTCATTATTAAGCTCATAATGTATATCGTTCTCAAATAAAATAAAATCCTTTCATCTAAATGATATATGTAGTGATCATTGATAAACAGCAACATGATTAGCTTTAAAGTAAAACCTGAATTTCATACTTCTTGTGCTTTACTTACAGAATAATAATAGACCCAGGATAAAATATCGCGTATATTAAATACATACGCGAGTTCAAATAGAATTTTTCGCATTATATTTTGGCCTGCTTTAGAGGTATGAACAGATCTGTCATGTTATTTGACAAATTAATGCAATATAACGGCACGAGTGCATTCAAACTCAATAAAACGTGGATCATTCTTTGGTTTGAAGTTTATTGAATACATGTTATTTAATGTTACATTTTTGAATTCATCTAATGCACTGTGCACGTCACAAATTATGTTTAATCAATATAACATTTCTAGTATTTCTTATGTTCCTCCCACTTTCTTCATATGATTTTACATCTTCTTGCAAATATCAGGTAACTTTCATAAAACAAATACTGTTTAGAAGACAAAGACCGGATACTTGACATTTAGCAGATTTTATAACAAATTATAGCATGTTGCATTTTTAAATTGATGTCTTTGTATCTCCTAATACAGAATTCCTAAAATGCTAAGTAGCTCAGACAGAAACATTTGTTTCTCAAAGATAATATCAAATGCTAATGTATATATTTTATGTAGTGCAACTGCATTTGCATCACGACTAATACATTTGTCATTTTTGCTTCTCTATTGGTGCTTAAGCTTAACGATCACTTTTAAAGAACCTCCAATTATAGTGGATGGATAAGACGCTGGTCTTTATTACTTTAATTCTCTGTATATGTAAACCCTGCATTCAAGTACATTGCAAACTAATCTCATCAGTTAAAGAAGCTTAATTATCCGTTTGATTAGTAATTTAATAGTCATTGTCGTTAAAATGCTGTCACTCCTTATTATCTAGTTCAGAGTGACTTTTATGACGTTATTTGTTTGGTTCAACAGTATATATTTTCTGATGTTTCGGGTAGTAGTAAATGTGTGCAACTCTTTTCTCTTGTCTTAATTTGTAAGATAAATGAGCATGCTTGTATGAGCTACCATACCAAGTAATTGTTTTTACAAATATTCATCATTTAAATGCAAATGTATTTGATATTTTGTTTCCATTAGTTACGCCAGTAAAGTTTTCATTCTTTGTCATAAAAATTCAATTTGTTCAAACGTTATATGCCCCTGACCATTTTATGGCATGCACAAATGGACATCTAAGGTATTCAATGCCTTGCCATTCAATATATATGCACCGATTGAACAAAGGAAAATTTACATTATAGTAGTGCATATATATTTTAAACCAATTCGATAGCGTTTCTGTAACATTCACAAGTACGCTGGAAAAAAAAAAGACTTTCCTCTAAAGATGTTGACAAAATAATAAAGGACGTTCACCGATAGAGGTGTATGTTGTTTCTGTACCCATATTAAACAGGCTAAAAGGTAAACAATCTGTGGCACATAGGTTGATAAATAATGAAATAAACTGGAAATCTGATTTTTTTTCTTGTTCCTGCATCATTACAGCATATTTGACTCTTGAAATGGAATATTTGTTCACCGATACTATTCTGTATGAAAGATTTTTGTAACTTCTCAAACAAACTCTTCGTAGCATCCCTGATCTGCCTTTGACCTGTCCCGTATTTTGCGCCGTTTCGTTTCGGTGCCAAACACGGTGCCTTTCCGAAGCCCCTGCGTGACTGAAAGTTGTCGGGGCTGCGTTCTAGACGACGTATTTCCCTGAGATCTTATCTATCTTATTTTAGTACTCTAAGGATTGTCAAAATTAATTTTTCGTTATTACGAGGGTTTTTCGATAATGTGTATTTTACGATATCTCAAAAGCATTCGATTTAAATATTTAAATGAACATTACATCCCTTAAAAATATTCTCTGCGGTTTGAAATACATAATTTTAAATGTCCTGTATTTTAAAAAGGAAAAAACACACAAAAAACACACAGAAAAAAGCAGTATCACGGATTAGATACCTTCCATTACTTTCAATACTTTCCCTGCCTTTATTACACAACCCCTTTCCGAACCTTATTTTTACAGTGTCAACGAGGGGCTTTATTAAAATTGCCATTTGACTAAAATTGTGTTTAGCTGAAGCCTCGTGTTTATACAGTTGGAAAGGTATTAACTATGGTTATTTAGGTATAGCATCATCAACGACATTGTGGATAGCGTTATTTCTCTGCGGTACAATAAATTAAATATATCGAACAACCCTAATAAAATCCTGAATTAAATAACTCAAACAGTACTGTTAATATTCAACGGAAGAATTCGGTACTGGATTTAAATAAGCCAAGGACCGTTCCCTGTTAAAACACACACATATCTTACGATGTTAATAGGATTTCTTTCTTTGTCTCTTTTCAAGAGAAATGCAGGCATCATCAGTAATTAAACAATTTTCTAATGAGGAGCCACATCATTGGATATATGACACTTATTTTCATGCATTCCTTTAATTTAATCTTGCATTGCATTGATTTGTAATATGATTGCCTTTCAAAGGTATCGTAAGGCGCAACAGTGTGAAAAACAAGAAGTAAATATCTGGAAAATTTAAGCAGCATAACTGTTAGTGTTTGATATTTGAGATAGGGTATTTTTTATTTAAGATAGTAAAATAGCGTTTAGAGGATACTTGCTGACAAAGCATGTGGCGGAATTCTTTTAATGTAACACATCAAACGTTATGGTTAGATTTTACAACGGTTATTAAACCTTTCACATTCAGTCAATAAGTATGTGATGTAAAATCAAAGTGCAAAAAGTGTAAAAGAGGTGTTTGACATTGAAAGGTTATTGTCATAAACAAAACTCGGTTTTCTGATATTTCATTATATTATATTCATGGTCTTAATTTTGTATTGTATGTTTATGTAATTCAAAAAGAAAAACAGAAGCAAAAATGTGCACAGAACATTTTTTAAACAAGAATGCAACCTCAGCGAAATTTGTTACTTTTTAGATTTTCAAAGCCATGGTAATTTCCCTGTCCAGCTGATAAATTAAGATGAATAATCATCATGGTACATACTGTGTTATGCCTAAGTCACAAATGACAAACGGCCGCCAGGCGGCGTCTATTTCTCCAAACAAATCGTAATATCGGCCGAAGTTCGTCCAGCCACCGTGACAATCGGACGGCAGCAGCTGAAAATTTTGGTCATCGGTCGGCCGACGATAAGTTTTAAGTACTACTAGTAGATGATTTTTGGGGTCAGTGCACAGGCACTTTATGGTCGAGCAAGAACGTCTACGCGGATTTGTATTTACTACAATTGTTGCATTGTTTGCTTGGTCTTCATCTTGTCTCTATAAACTGCCTTCTTTGCTGGCATATTGACCAGACATTTTTAAAAGAATATCATAAAATGCCAAACCTTTACCGCTTAGCGCCCACGCGGCGACCATTCGATCAATTTATAAATCGCACATGTGCCGTCCGGATATCGAGTGGCGACCGCCCGGTCTGAATGCTGTTTGTAACATCAATTCAGCAGAAAATCGCCCGGCGAAAGAAAGGTATCAGATTTAAAATCGCCCGGCGTTCGCGAAAACTTCAATGCCGCCGATGTTGTAAAATCGTTAGATAAGGCGGCGGCCGTTTTATTTGTGACCTAGGCATTACAAGTTTTATATAATGCCTATTTAAATTGCATTCCAACTCGATTTCAATTCAGAATAACCATGAGCATTGAATTGAGAACAAATAATTGACTGCCCTTACATGTGTGTATTCCTTTAGCTTATTTTAAAATTAAATGATCAATAATGGCGCATTTTTTCAGTTAACCATTATTTGTGTATTAATTTTACTCCTTGCAAATGTATTCATTATCAATATCTATCGAATGGTCAGTTGATGTTTATATTCAGATTACATTCTTTATATACGAAAACAATATTTTCACTTTTAATTTGCTTTACTTTTAGATATGTCATTTGATCAGCCGCCAAGAGGTTCGAATTATCGAGTGGTTGTCATGGGGACGGCTGGTGTTGGAAAAAGTTCAATTATTAGTCAGTTTATGCATAACAAGTTCACAGAGACACACAAAGAAACTGTTGAAGAATTACACCGACATCGGATGAAATTTAAAACGATAGCTGTAGAAATTGATATATTAGATACATCCGGATCTCACGAATTTCCTGCCATGCGCAAACTTGCCATAGCAACCGGTGACGCCTTTATTTTAGTGTATGCAGTCGACAATCAAACAAGTTTTGAAACTGTTAAAAGATTACGCGATGAAATAAAAGAGTATAACCATAAGGAACATTATTCGATTGTTGTCGTTGCAAATAAAACAGACTTAGAAGAAAAACGGGAACCTATTATTAACACCGTCAATGAATCTGTCGTTTGTATCGACTGGGAGGAAAAGTTTGTATTTACATCAGCCAAGACAGGTGAAAATGTTGATATCGTTTTCCAGCTGTTGGAAAACCAAATAAAGGCAAGAATACATCTAGAGGAAAAGCGCTTGTCATTCTTCCGACGAATTTCCATGCCGATTATGAAACTAGCTAAGCCGGAGCGTACACATGCGCCAAAGCTAAACAAACAATCAAGAACATGTTCTTTTGGTGGCTTTCAGTCACATTGACCGGAAGAGGTTAATTTAACTTTTGTGGGCAATCATTATATAAATAATCGGACATATGAACGTAGTTATTTGATGTTTTTATATTTTGAAACGTATTAATCAAATACGATTTACACCAACTGCTCAAAAATGTGCCTAAATCTGATTAATTGTTAGATTTAAGTCTTGAGTGAATCGACGATACATATCAAATTTAATCATACACATACGTAAAATGAAAATTTAAAACTGGCTAGTTCGATGTCCCATCTACCTAATATATTTTGTTACACTTACTTCATGTATATATTTATTTCCATGGCAATGTATCCTTTAATTAAGGACATTTACTAAGTTGAATTAATTTCTTTTAATAAAACGATCACATTATGTTTGATAAAGATTTACTAGTATATGTTTACCATGTAATATAAAATTGCATGCCGAAATAACATAAATTATATTAACAAAACAGCTAATTGTCTATTTTTTTGCGATACTATTTGAATCTTTTAAACATTCTCTTTGATACTCTAATAATAGATTAAAACATCGTCATGTTTAAGATTATATTCCATCAATACATTATATATCTCGACTAGTCTATCCTTTCCAGCCAGCTTGCGGAATTCGTTGACCTGCTTGTGTTAAACATAATACACGTACGGGTAAAAACAAAAACAAATTTTGAATAGTATATATAAAATTCAGAGTAAAATGTACTTTTATTATGTCCAATTGATTAGTTAAGTCAGTTAATAACAAGATAAATCCATCGATCTTGGACAATTAAAAGTCAATATATCTAATGACCTAAGTTTAGGCATCAATTTATTATGTGCAATAACTTGGCTAAACAATCAACAATCAACAATCGACATTCAATGTCTAGCTAGACAATCAACATTCAGCTCAACATTCGATCTATAATAATAATCAAACAATTCTCAAAGTGAATGTTGAGCTAGACAATCAACAATCAGCTAGACATTCGAAAATTTCTTATGTCGAGCTAGACAATCAACATTCAGCTCAACATTCGACCTGTAATAATTATCAAAGTATCCTTAAAGTGAATGTTGAGCTAGACAATCAACAATCAGCTAGACATTCGATAATTTCTTATGTCGAGCTAGACAATCGACATTCAGCTCAACATTCGATCTATAATAAAAATCAAAGAATTTTCAAAGTGAATGTTGAGCTAGACAATCGACAATCAGCTAGACATTCAGAAATTTCTTATGTCGAGCTAGACAATCGACATTCAGCTCAACATTCGATCTATAATAATGATCGAGGTTTTCTTAAAGTGAATGTTGAGCTAGACAATCAACAATCAGCTAGACATTCGATAATTTCTTATGTCGAGCTAGACAATCGACATTCAGCTCAACATTCGACTTTAAATAATAATCAAAGTATTCTTAAAATCAATGTTTAGCTAGACAATCAACAATCAGCTAGACATTTGAAAATTTCTTATGTCGAGCTAGACAATCAACATTCAGCTCAACATTCGACCTGTAATAATTATCAAAGTATCCTTAAAGTGAATGTTGAGCTAGACAATCAACAATCAGCTAGACATTCGATAATTTCTTATGTCGAGCTAGACAATCGACATTCAGCTCAACATTCGATCTATAATAATGATCGAGGTTTTCTTAAAGTGAATGTTGAGCTAGACAATCAACAATCAGCTAGACATTCGATAATTTCTTATGTCGAGCTAGACAATCGACATTCAGCTCAACATTCGATCTATAATAATAATCAAACAATTCTCAAAGTGAATGTTGAGCTAGACAATCAACAATCAGCTAGACATTCGAAAATTTCTTATGTCGAGCTAGACAATCAACATTCAGCTCAACATTCGACCTGTAATAATTATCAAAGTATCCTTAAAGTGAATGTTGAGCTAGACAATCAACAATCAGCTAGACATTCGATAATTTCTTATGTCGAGCTAGACAATCGACATTCAGCTCAACATTCGATCTATAATAAAAATCAAAGAATTTTCAAAGTGAATGTTGAGCTAGACAATCGACAATCAGCTAGACATTCAGAAATTTCTTATGTCGAGCTAGACAATCGACATTCAGCTCAACATTCGATCTATAATAATGATCGAGGTTTTCTTAAAGTGAATGTTGAGCTAGACAATCAACAATCAGCTAGACATTCGATAATTTCTTATGTCGAGCTAGACAATCGACATTCAGCTCAACATTCGACTTGTAATAATAATCAAAGTATTCTTAAAATCAATGTTTAGCTAGACAATCAACAATCAGCTAGACATTTGAAAATTTCTTATGTCGAGCTAGACAATCAACATTCAGCTCAACATTCGACCTGTAATAATGATCAAAGTATCCTTAAAGTGAATGTTGAGCTAGACAATCAACAATCAGCTAGACATTCGATAATTTCTTATGTCGAGCTAGACAATCGACATTCAGCTCAACATTCGATCTATAATAATGATCGAGGTTTTCTTAAAGTGAATGTTGAGCTAGACAATCAACAATCAGCTAGACATTCGATAATTTCTTATGTCGAGCTAGACAATCGACATTCAGCTCAACATTCGACTTGTAATAATAATCAAAGTATTCTTAAAATGAATGTTTAGCTAGACAATCAACAATCAGCTAGACATTCGAAAATTTCTTATGTCGAGCTAGACAATCAACATTCAGCTCAACATTCGATCTATAATAATGATCGAGGTTTTCTTAAAGTGAATGTTGAGCTAGACAATCAACAATCAGCTAGACATTCGATAATTTCTTATGTCGAGCTAGACAATCGACATTCAGCTCAACATTCGATCTATAATAATAATCAAACAATTCTCAAAGTGAATGTTGAGCTAGACAATCAACAATCAGCTAGACATTCGAAAATTTCTTATGTCGAGCTAGACAATCAACATTCAGCTCAACATTCGACCTGTAATAATTATCAAAGTATCCTTAAAGTGAATGTTGAGCTAGACAATCAACAATCAGCTAGACATTCGATAATTTCTTATGTCGAGCTAGACAATCGACATTCAGCTCAACATTCGATCTATAATAAAAATCAAAGAATTTTCAAAGTGAATGTTGAGCTAGACAATCGACAATCAGCTAGACATTCAGAAATTTCTTATGTCGAGCTAGACAATCGACATTCAGCTCAACATTCGATCTATAATAATGATCGAGGTTTTCTTAAAGTGAATGTTGAGCTAGACAATCAACAATCAGCTAGACATTCGATAATTTCTTATGTCGAGCTAGACAATCGACATTCAGCTCAACATTCGACTTGTAATAATAATCAAAGTATTCTTATAATCAATGTTTAGCTAGACAATCAACAATCAGCTAGACATTTGAAAATTTCTTATGTCGAGCTAGACAATCAACATTCAGGTCAATATTCGACCTGTAATAACGATCAAAGTATCCTTAAAGTGAATGTTGAGCTAGACAATCAACAATCAGCTAGACATTCGATAATTTCTTATGTCGAGCTAGACAATCGACATTCAGCTCAACATTCGATCTATAATAATGATCGAGGTTTTCTTAAAGTGAATGTTGAGCTAGACAATCAACAATCAGCTAGACATTCGATAATTTCTTATGTCGAGCTAGACAATCGACATTCAGCTCAACATTCGATCTATAATAATGATCGAGGTTTTCTTAAAGTGAATGTTGAGCTAGACAATCAACAATCAGCTAGACATTCGATAATTTCTTATGTCGAGCTAGACAATCGACATTCAGCTCAACATTCGACTTGTAATAATAATCAAAGTATTCTTAAAATCAATGTTTAGCTAGACAATCAACAATCAGCTAGACATTTGAAAATTTCTTATGTCGAGCTAGACAATCAACATTCAGCTCAACATTCGACCTGTAATAATGATCAAAGTATCCTTAAAGTGAATGTTGAGCTAGACAATCAACAATCAGCTAGACATTCGATAATTTCTTATGTCGAACTATACACTCGACATATAGCTCAACATTCGATCTATAATAAAAATCAAAGAATTTTCAAAGTGAATGTTGAGCTAGACAATCGACAATCAGCTAGACCTTCAGAAATTTTTTATGTCGAGCTAGACAACCGACATTCAGCTCAACATTCGATCTATAATAATGATCGAGGTTTTCTTAAAGTGAATGTTGAGCTAGACAATCAACAATCAGCTAGACATCCGATAATTTCTTATGTCGAGCTAGACAATCGACATTCAGCTCAACATTCGATCTATAATAATGATCGAGGTTTTCTTAAAATGAATGTTGAGCTAGACAATCAACAATCAGCTAGACATTCGATAATTTCTTATGTCGAGCTTGACAATCGACATTCAGCTCAACATTCGACTTGTAATAATTATCAAAGTATTCTTAAAGGGAAAGACAAGGTTAGAATAAAAAACTTGATTTCAGAAAAAAAATACTATAAATAATAAGTCTGCAAATTTTCTGCCGCCAAATAATAATATTAAACGAATGATAACAAAATTTAAATCGCTAAAACACCGATTTCTACAAATCAGTAAGCGCTGCCATGTTTGTGTATTGGCCGTATAAAAACAGGTGCGCGTGATGTCATTTCCCCACATCTTTTAGATTCATGATAAATCTAGTTGATCGTAAGGAAATATTAATGACCAGACAATTTAATTTTCACAGCAGGAGGTGTAGAGGAGATTTTTTATGGTTCAAAATACGTAACAATATCAAAAAAAAATAAATAAATAAAAAATAAATAAAGAAACGTACGGCTAGCCAAAAGTTTCTAGCCGTACGTGAGTCACGAACGACTAGCCAGGACGCACTGTACGTATTGTCTAGCCGTACGGCACTTTTCAAAATTATATGGAAGTCGAACGTTATAAATTTGTTGATTTTCATGCTTATCATTTGTTGTTTTATTTGTATGAATTATTAAATCATTTTTTGTTAATTTTAAGCACATGGATCGAATAGAAAATGATCGGAGTGGAATAAATAAATAAATAAAAAGAACATTGAATAAAAAAACAACAAAAAAAAGACGGTGAAATGCAAAAATAATTATATAATTTTCAAAACCGTAGATAAATATCGAACATAAAAGCACAGTCAATCAATTAATCCCTATCCAGGGACTGACAATAGAATTTTAGAATGCCTTTCACGGAACATGAATGGACAAACTTCTATACAGTACCGTCGGTAATTGTCGCAATTATCAAGAGCCTAACAACAATCATTTTCAGTGTTTGTTGTTTTTTGTTGTTTTTTTTTTTCATATAAAAGGTGTCGAAAATTAAATTAATGAAACAAAAAAGGATTATTATCAAAATTTTGTAAACTATTTCAATTGGTGTAAATGCAAGCAAAGGCTTTTTTTTTTCTCGACATCTTGCGTTGACAAAGATCGATATATATAGCGATCAAGGCGATTAAT